GGAGGACAGGGCATACAGCAGTGTTCTCCTGGACTTCTCTGTGGCTCACTGAGAGGGGTACATATTTAGTGTTGGGTTGGTATGGTAGGGCTCAGGCCACCCTACCATGCCAGATGACACCCCAGTAGTGCTCAGCTGCAAGGGGTTCTCAAGACACCATAAGAAGGGTACTGAGGAGCTCAGCTCAGAGCTGTTTCCCCATAACCCAACACCTGGGCATCCCCATAGCCTAATGTCTAGGCATTCCCATAGCGTAACTTCTTGGCATGACCCACAGCCTAACCAGGCATCCCTGAAATCTAACTTTTTGGTATCTCCCATAGCCTGACCAGCCACTATGGCTGGTCCTGCCCCACTCCCTCTCTGGGTACCCTGTACAGTTCTTGTCCCTGGGGAAGATGCCTTCTGGTTTAACAAACTGCTCTCTAGTCCCGGAAGCCAGCCCAGATATGGGTTGGGAAGCAAAATGGCTGAGGACAGATTCGTTCCTCCCGCAGGCAATTCCAACCTGGTCTACGCCATCATCCGTAAGCGTGGGGTCTTCCACCAGCTGGCCAACCTGCCCACTGACCCACCCTCCATCCACAAGGCACTTCAGCGGCGGCGGAAGACGCCGGAGCCTCTGTCCCGTGCTGGCTCCCAGGAGGGTGCTTCCATGGAGGGCTCCCGCCCTGCCGCCCCCGCGGAACCAGGCACCCTAAAGACCAGCCTGGTGGCCACTCCAGGTCTGGATGGCATCAGGCTGGGAGCGTGTGGGGCCTGGTTGGGGGCAGCATTGTTGGGGTGTGTGTGTGATCTCTGGGGTGTCTTTCCTGTCGTTCCTGAGAAGGAATTTAACAGCATGTGGGGTGGAAGTATTTATTTTGGGTTTTGGGGAGGAGGGACAAGGACCAGGCTCAGAGCTGAAAGTGGCTCTGGGAGGGAAAAAGAGAGACACACTGTTTCTGCTGTGATTGGGGAGCACACAGCCTCTTGGGCCAGGGGTCACTATGACATCCCCCCCCTCCCGTCTCCCTCAGGCATCGACAAGCTGACAGAGAAATCCCAGGTGTCAGAGGATGGCACCTTGCGGTCTCTAGAGCCCGAATCCCAGCAAAGCTCAGCAGAAGGCAGCCCGTCTGAAGGGGTAGGTACTGGAGATACTTGGGGGCTGGTGTTGTAACTTCATTGCCTTTCTCTCTGAACCCTTGAATGTAGGAGGGCAAGGCCGGAACACTCTGAGGTCACTGTCTTAGCACAGGGGAATCAGGTCTGGCATTGCTGAGCCAGGGGGACCGGCCATTTACGGACCTCTCTCCCTTGTTTACCCGTCACAGTAAAGCCCTGTGAACTCCGGGTTCCTCATCCACTAGCCTTATCTGAGTCTGGCCTTTACCCTGCCTTCTCTGTCAGCCCCCAGCCCTAAACCTGTCACTGGGCTGGGTTGGGCTGCACCTTGGGTCCAGGGCAAAGGGTACAGGTCTGAACTCACCCTCAGCAAACCTCCCTCACAGCCCTGTAGTGGGGCCAGAGGAGACTTATTGTTTCTCTATGGCTGAACCCTGTACCCATTCCTTCCCTGGTCACTTTCATTCCTTTCTGGGAACCAGGAGTCCAGCCAAACATGGAGAGAGCAGCGGCGATTGTCCAATGCATCGTCCAGTGGCCAGTGGAGCCCAACGTCAGACTGGGTGAGGGGCACAGCTGGAGGAGGAGCTGGGAGCTGGGGTTTGGGCAGCAGCACTGGGCAGGGGCTCTCAGAGCTCCAGCTCAGGGAAGGATGAGGCTAGGAGGGACCAAAGACCTTGGGCCTAGCGGCCAGGCTGAGGGACGGTCCTTCCAGCCACTGACCTTGCCTCGTGTCTGACCTCTCAGCAGTTTTCCATATGACTGAGGCCTCTGTCAATCACCCCTGCTGAGTCCCTCCCCGAATCGCTTCCACTCCCTGTGTGTTTCCTGGGAGCCCCGCTGATTGCCCTGGATGACCATAATAAATGCCCTTATGGTCGTGCCGCCCAGCCGTTGTGAGGATTAGAGGGGACAGCCTCCCGGAAGGCACAGCAGCTGGCCCGTGGCACTGCTCCGCGTGGCCTGGGCTCTCCCCATTAGCAGCAGCTCTGCATCATGCAGCCCCTCACAGTGTGGGCCATGCTGTACGCAGGCAGTGTCACGCCTGGGGAGCCCGTGGCTCTGGGTCAAGGTCAAGCCTGCCCCATAGCTCTGGGTGTGGCTCTCACAGATCCTGTCCTGGAAGTCAAAGCTGCCGCTGCAGACCATCATGCGCCTGCTGCAGGTGCTAGTTCCCCAGGTGGAGAAGATCTGCATTGACAAGTGAGTCCCGAAGCTGGGTAGGGCCGGGGGCGGGGCTTAGAGAGGGGTCAGCCCAGGCTTGGCGTGGGTGTGATAGGGAGCATGCGTGAACGGGCTGGAGGCCCCATCTCTTTTTCTAGGGGTCTGACGGATGAGTCTGAGATCCTGAGGTTCCTGCAGCATGGCACCCTAGTGGGGCTTCTGCCTGTACCCCACCCCATCCTCATCCGCAAGTACCAGGCGAACTCAGGCACCGCCATGTGGTTCCGCACCTACATGTGGGGCGTCATCTACCTGAGGTGGGCCCGGCAAGGGGTACGGAAGTCACATCCGGCGGAGGGGAGTGCTCCACAAGGTACAGCCTTGTAGAAGGTGACAGCCCTCTCCCTCTGTAGGAACGTGGACCCGCCCATCTGGTACGACACTGACGTGAAGCTGTTTGAGATCCAGCGGGTGTGAAGATGGAGACCGAGGGGACAGGACCAGGAGGGCCGGTCCTAGTCCCCAGGGCTCCCCCAACCCAGTGTTCTGAGCTTTAAAGGCCCATTATCAATCAGGGTGTGCGGCAGGTAGAGTGGTTGGTCCTGGATGGCAGATGCCCATTGCGGCTGGAGACAAGAGGGAGTTGAGAAAAGAAAAGTGCCCCTCTGCCCTCTAGGCTGTTCTCCCAGGAGCCTCTTGTCTCCAGAGATTCAAGCCCCACCACAGTCCCTGCCCACGCTGGCTCCTCCTTCAAGACCTGCGCTTGTGCTGCCTGCCCCCCAGAAGATGCCAGGTCACTGTGCCCCAGTAGGTTTCCCCCAAAAGGAGCCAAGTGCTGTCCCATGGGGCACCTGGTCATGGTGACTGGGAGTCCTGGCCACCCAGCCTGAGACGTCTGTTCTAGGCCCTCTCCCTGCCGGGGCTCTTTGGGGAGAGTGGCTGAGCTGCTGGCTGAGGAGGCTGACAGCTTATAAGGCAAGACTGGAGAGTGTGCCCCTAGGGGCTTGGAGTGGGGTTTTGAGGGCCTCCTGCTGCTGACCTTAGGAGGTTGCCTGGCTGGTGGGGCCTGAAGGATGCCAGTGTCCCTGCCTTGCCTGCTGCCTGGGTGGTGGTGGGGCCACATTCTACCAGTCCCGGCTTTGGCCTCTGGGTCGCTCTTGGCCCACCTGTGTCAGTACAATGTTCACTCTGTACAATCAGATACTTCACACAATAAAATTTCCCTCTCTGTGCTATGCCTCTGTGCCTGGAGTTGGGGGAGGTATCTGGCTAGGGCACCCATCTGCAGGGCAGTTGGGGACTCTGTACCCCAGAGTCCATCCCCTGAGGACTCTTACCCGGTGACTGAAACATCATCTGTCATTTGGTGTGTGTGTGTGTGTGTGTGTGTGTGTGTGTGTGTGTGTGTGAAACTACCTGGGCTCTTGTCACCCAGGGTTTGACTGTGGCTACCCAGAGAAAAGCCCACACAGGAGAAGCCAAAGGCCTGACTCTAAGTTCTCTGTATGGCCTCAGGTAGCCAGAACCAGTGTTGAGGAGGCCTGGGTCATCATCCCGGGGCTTGACAGTGTGAGGCCTTCATGGGAGCAGGGGGAGTTCAGGAAGGGCAGAGACTTGGCTGCAGGGCCAGCATAGCACTCTCGGGGCCTCGCCCTGGACATATTTGTTCTGGGCTCAGAGAGATGGATGGAGCGCTGTCGTCTGCTTGCTCACCTTCCTGCCCCACCCAGTGGCTCAGAGGACCAGGCAGGCCTGGGCACTGGGCAGGCAGAGGCCACAGTGACCACCCATAGTGAGCCAGTTGCAAAAATGTCCCCGAGGCTCTAAGAGACTGTGGAAGGGTGGAGGATCAGGGCTATGCAAGCCCAGGCCCATCTCTTCATGCTTGTCCATGGATCAGACAGAGAGGGTCAGGTGTAGACCGCTCCTGGCTGAGGAACGGGACTGTCTTGCTTGAGAGGACCATCCTTCCCCCTGCACTTAGAGCAGCAGTTCTGTCCCCAGGAACAAATGCCACAAAGGTCAAATGGAATTGATTGAACAAACAGGGTTTATGAAAGCAGGAAAGAGCTGTTGGGCTCTGCCTGGCAGCTAATTAATGAACTCATTAGGTGATGGGGTGTGCAGGGAGAGGGGCAGGGCTGCCTGCCAAGTTTGGAGTGCTGGGTTCTGAGCTCCCAGGAGGAGTTCTGAGCCTCCAGGATGTCCATGAGTCTCTTCCACAGAAGGAATCAGCCTCTTCCATGATTTCATACTGACCATCACAGACAGTAGCCTTTGCCTGTCCCCTGGGGGACATCCTTGACTACATGGACTGTTGTGAAGAGGCTCTGGCCAGGTGGTGCTCAGGCTCCGTCTCCAAGCTCTGCCCTTTGAGCTCCCGGCACACCCTTCTCCTCTCAGTCAGGTTGAGGAAAGTCACTTTGGGAACCCCTGGCAGGTTTCTGTACTTCCTGATGTGATGTGTCTGCCCAGATTCTCCAACTTTTTTTTTTTTTTTTTTTCTGTCTTGGCACTTTTGGGTTCTGCTGTGACTGGGTTCCTTTGGCACTCAGGCCCCCAGGTAGACCTCCACCAGTCCCCCAACAGAGTGCATGCGGTAGAAGACCCCCAGAGGCAGGCCGAAGTTGACAATGGTGAACCAGGTCCTGTAGCCATAGAAATCCTTTTCCAGCCCATTCTCAAACTCAGGGTGTATGCCAAACGCCGGCATCATCCACAGCTGGGGAGAGAGAGGAGGCTGCTGGGCGAAGAAGGGCCTCTCCTAAATCTTAAAGCGCTCAGCTCAGGGGAGGCTGACCTGGAACTAGCCGTGTCTGCAACTCGCTGTTCCCACAACATCTTGGGGCTTTCCAAGCAAGGTGTCCATCCAGCGCTAGCATCTCTCTCACCCCCTGACACAGAAAGCCCTGGCTACCTCGGCTTCCCCGAGTCCAGGCTGAGCCCTAGAGGGCTGCTTCTATACATGGCACTTGGCAGGACCACCCAGCTAGAAATCTAGGCAGCCAAGCTGAACTGTTTGTGCCCTAAGCCCCGAGCTCAGGCTTTACTGTTTCTGCTAGTTAGAGCCACCTGCATCCCCTCCTGCCCTCTCATGAGAATGCTACCCACTCTCCAAAGCCCAGGCCGACCTTATCAACCTCCCAGAAACCTGCCTTGGCTCTTAGGACCCATACTTCCGTCTCTGAACTCCTGACACAGTTTAAAGCCAATTTATCATTTCTTCTCTGCATGGACCAGCTGTTTCACATCTGAGGCATGTTTTCCGTGCTTTGAGAGGTTTGGAGCTAAACAACCCACAGCTGTCCCATATCTGCCACTTCCAGGCTCTGAGAGCTGGATCAATCAGACAACAGAAGCCTCAATTTTAGCAGCCACCAGAGGCTGAGATCAGCACTAACCTCTTCCACTAGGGGTTAATAGAAAATAAGTAGTTCTAGGCTGTTCATTTGGCCAAATTCAATGGATGATGAGTTCAGGGTTCATTTTCTGGTCAGCCACGTGGCATCTCCCCCATCTAGATTGCAAGCTTTCGGGGGTCAGAATCTTTGCTAGGTGCTGAGCCCATTAGGTGCAAGCCAGGCAGCTTGCAGGGAGCTGCTGGAGAAACTCCCGGCTCTCAAGCAGCATCAAGCTAGTTGGAAAGAGACGAGTGACTTCCTGAGTGAGGGGCTCCGGGTCCACACCCCACAGCACACCCTCTCCCCGAGAGGCTCTGCCCAGACACTCACCGTGATATTGCAGAGGATGAGGAAGAGGGAGATCTCCTTGAGCACCCTTCGTTTCCAGTTGAGGTGACTGTAGGAGTGGATGTAGGCCCTGGAGGCTCTCCGCAGGTCCTGGCCCAGCTCCCGCAGGGAGCCCCTGCGAGGCAGCTCAGCACCCTGCTTCTCCATCACTCCGGGGAGCACAGGCTCCCAGAGGGGGCGGCGGTGCAGGCCCTCGATGATGAAGAGGTTCTGCGTGATGTGCTGCACGATGAGCAGCAGCGAATAGGCCAGGATGAGCTGGTTGAGCAGCTCGTGGGGCTTCGTGGCCACGATAGCCACGATGGAGAAGTAGGCAATGCCCATCTGGCCCAGAGCGGCGCCCATCAGCAGCACCACATCCAGGCTGCGCGTGGGGTTCTTGAGGGTGTCCAGTTCGCGTTCCTCCAGCCCATGGATGGCTGTGCCTGCCAGGCACGCCAGGCTCATGGCGGGCAGCACGGCCACGTAGAACGCGTAGTAGAGGGTGAAGTACTGGCGGGCGATGTCAGGGCCGCTCGCCTCTATCTGGAAGAGCACGAAGACACACACGCCAGCCACCAGTGCCAAGAGGCCCAGCAGCGGCCCAAAGATGGCCCCGTGCAGGCGGAAGGGCGGCCTGTTGGGGTGGGCAGCCGGGTGGGCTGCCGGGCGGCGGCCCACATTCTTCCACATGACGAAGAGCACGGCGCAGCAGATGAGGCAGTACTCGGTGCTGAAGGGGTACAGCATCAGGTAGCCCTTCTGGAAGACCTCACACACGGTGGCGTTGAGGCACTTGCACGTGTTGGTCTCGTTACCTGAGAGGGGGCGGGGAGGGAGAAGGCGGCTTCTCAGGCAGGCCCCTGCGCCGAGGAAGCCAGTGGCGCCAATCCCTCTCACCCACCTCCTGGAGCACGCTGGATCTGGACAGGACCCAGCCAGATGTTCATTTTACAGACACATCTGAGGCTGGAGCATAGAGATCGGAAATCACAAAGTGATCGCAAAGGGATTCGAGACTCTAGGTAAAGCCGAGCCTCAGTAAAGCATTTCAGATGCGCTGTGGCTGACTCCGATCATCACCTCCACGTGTTGCTTGGTTGGCGGAGCAGACCGGGCATTTGCAATAAGAAATTGGGCTGGCGCACCTGAACACAGTGAGCCGCCTCAGCAGCACATACTGGGGGAATTAGAAGTCAGCCCCTCTGGATGAGTGCACAGTGTCACGTGGGTGCCAGATTGACTGAACTGAATCCAAGTCAAACTCTGGGCCATACCTCAGGGGGAAGGGCGGAGCTAAAAGCCATCACTGGGAAACAAATAGAAAACGTCAAGGTCGTTAAGAAAAATGAACCTTAAAAGGAGGCTGGAGAAACGGGTTAGCGGACTGCCACTGCAGAGGACCCAGGTTCGGTTCCCAGCACCCACATCACACGCCCAACTCCAGTTCCAAGGGATCTGACGCCCTCCTGCCTCTGCAGACACCCACACTCGTGTGCACAGACCATTCTCACGCGCATAGCCACACACAAAAACTTATAAAGAATAAAATTAATTACTAAAATAGAATCTTAACCAAAGTGCTATGCGTGGTGACACACACTTACAGTCCCAGGGGTTGGGAGACCAAGGCAGAAGGATCTCAAGTTCAAGGCCAGCCTTGGCTGCACAGTTAAACTCTGCCTCAGAAAGGAATGTGGCTCTGAGGTAGAGTACTCGCCTAACATACGGCCCTGTTTGAACCCCTACACTGCAAAAACAACCAACAAACCTGAACTAGTATCTCACAACCGTATCGCTAACCCTTGGGAAGCTGAGGCAGAAGATCAGAAAATTGGGGTCAGCCTTGGCTATGTAAGACCCTGCCTCAAAAAAAAAATGTAATCAACTACATTGCATATTTGGTGTGTGTGTGTGTGTGTGTGTGTGCTGTAAAACTCACCCATGCATGTGTATGCATATAGATTTGATGTTGATTTGTCTTCCTCGGTTGCTTTTCCACCTAATGTTTTGACAGGGTCTTTCATTGAGCCTGGAGTTCGAGGTGTCAGCTAAACTGACTGGCCCTGGGCCCTTGGAACCGCACAATAGTAATGCCTTGTGGGTGTGGCTCAGTGGTAGGGTGCTTGCCTGGCATGAATGAGTCTCTGTCCCAACCCCTAGCCACAGACATCCGCACACGCATCGATGATGTCACTTTGGCCGAAGCTCCCTCTTTGCACTTTTTGTGCAAAGTACAAACAGAAAGTGAGAGATGGCCGCAGCAGACAGGCATGGTGGCATGATTCATGCGCTGGGTGTGTGAATGCAGGAGAGCTGGTGCACACAGGCCATGGATGCCACCTGTGGGTGGGGCAGCCACATGGGTGGGGCAGAGTCCTACAGACTGCCAGCTCCTCCTGTGGATTTATGGGATGTTGCTTCAAAGGGCAGACCATACAGGTTCAGGACTGGCCAGATGGGATAATGTAGGGAGTTTTCTACCCACAAATCTCCTCTCCCTGCTGACATGTTTAGATACTAAGATTGCATTAGGACAACATTCCTTTCAGCCCCAAAGGCTTTTTAGTCTCTTACAAGTAAAATACAAATATCATGGGTTGGGTGCACGCCTGAGAGATTGATCAGTGACCAACTCAACCAGGATTAATGGCTGGCTTGTTGACAGCGACATGGCTGCAGGGTTTGGACAGGTGCCAGGCCCTGGTGGAGCATGAAGGAGACCATTGACACATGAACTGTGTGTGTATACATGTGTGCACAGGCAAACAGACACCAGAAGATACCCAAGACAGTATCATCCCTTAGGAAGTATCCTATCTGCTTTTTTTTTTTTTTTTTCTTTTGAGACAGTCTCTCATTAACCTAGAGTTCATCAATTAGGCTGGCCAGTGAGTCCCAAAAATTGATCTGTCAGGCCATTCCTGGTTCTTTCTTTCTTTCTTTCTTTCTTTCTTTCTTTCTTTCTTTCTTTCTTTCTTTCTTTCTTCCTTCCTTCCTTCCTTCCTTCCTTCCTTCCTTCCTTCCTTTCTTTCTTAAGATAAGATCTCACTGTGTAGTCCTAGCTGGCTTGGAACTCACTATGTAGACATGGCTGGCTTTGAACTCACAGACATCCTCCTATCTCTGCCTCCCAAGTGCTGGGACTAAAGATTCAAGCTACGGTGTCTGGCTATGCCTAGCTGTTTTTTTTTTTTTTTTTTTTTTTTTGTGTGTGTGTGTGTGTTTTAAAATGTAGGCTTCTAAGGACCAAACTCAGGTCTCTGCTTGTGTGACAAGCACTTTATAGAGAACCATCTCGATAGCCCATACTTTTCTGTTTAACAATTACCTGGCCTTGAGTGTACTCCCAACTCTGTGTGCTTCCCATATGTGTGTGTGTGTGTGTGTGTGTGTGTGTGTTTGTGTGCACATAAATGTGATGGGGAAAGTTCTAGTCCCTTTTGTACCTGAGAACTTTTCCATGAGGGCGTCGAGCTCAGCCTCGATCTCACGGTGTATGGAGTCATTGGTCACAGCCAAAACCCACAGCAGCAGGTTTGTGGCCAGGGTCAGCATGAGGCCACACCTGAGGGAAGGACCACACTCTGCTCACACAACCTGAGTAGCTCCGAGGGCCCCTCCTCACCATCTGCCCTGAGGTGTCCCTCGGGATGCGTCCCACCCTAACCCACAGCTGCAGGCTCCTGTCTGGGGAAACTCCTGCCAGGGAGACATCTTACCTGGTGAAGTTGGTCTGCACCTGAACACAGTCCTTACAGTGTCTCCAGAGCACCCAAGTCTGAAAGAGACAGGGCCGTGAGCCCAGGGGCTGGTGGTGTGTCGGGGCATCGGAGAAGCACTTCAGCTGTGTGTGTGTGTGTGTGTGTGTGTGTTTGCAGTGGAAGACCCCGTAAGGAAGTGTGGGTTGGAATCCTGGCTCTGCCATTTCCTTTTACTGGCTGGTATTAGGTCAGTGGTGAGCATCTCGGTGCTGTAGCTCCCTCAGCTACTGCTTGAGGAGAGGGAGAGACCTGCTTGGTGAGAGGGCTAAGGGTGATGTAAACATAGCATAGCAGAGAGTCAACAGCTGGAGAAGCAGGGACACCTGGGAGCTGAGTTTAAGTGTATGCAGGTATGTGTAGGCAAATGTGCTTATAGATGTCTACATCCGGGAGGCAGGCGTGTGTGGAGGTGCATGTGTGCAGAGGAGCGTGTGTGTGTGTGTGTGTGTGGAGGTGTGGATACACGGAGGTGGGCTGTGATGGACGTGTCTACGCCCTGGGGCCAGGAGACATTACCATGTGGCTGGTTATAGTATAGGCTGGGAGGTATGTGCGTCCCTGCAGGTATGGGGGTGTGAGAGCCCCCTCACCTGGACAGTCATGAAGACGATCTCAATGACTGGGAAGATGAGTTCCACTTCTGACTTGCAGTGAATGTGGCTCACGTCATAGCCCATTCGGAATACGTTCAGGCAGACGGTACAGCTGCCGAAGAGCACCAGGGAGCCTGGTCAGGAGAGGATGGGCAGGTGGGGATGGACGCCTGCTTCTGGACAGGTTCTCCTTCCCCGGCCCTCTCCACCCACCTAGCACAGAGCACTCACCCCTCACCCAAACGGGTCCCGCATGGGGGTCCCGGTAGAGCACTGCCTGGGGCTTCCGTGTGGTGCCCGCCACGTAGTAGAGGAGCCACAGCAGCGAGAGGACCTTCAGCGCAGCCAGCAGGATCCACACGTCCCCCAGGGTGACCGACACATTGTTGAAGATCGTGCTGCAGATGAAGGCCCCACCCAGGAACACCACATTGAGGGCCAGGAGCCCCGAGAAGAGCTGCCCGGCCTTCTGGGCCTGCCGGTCTCTCCGCAACAGCAGCGAGAAATGCCGCAGCAGCCAGGACTTCTGCTCTGGGGGGCACGGGGGCCCTGTGTGCTTGGTCTCTGTGTCTACTTGGTCGTAGGTAGATGCTGCTTCCGCGGTCTCTGACTCTGAAGAAGGCATGGGTGCAGCCTCAGCAGGGGCTGGAGGGGGAGAGAGATTAAATAGGTCAGCTGGCAAGGGGCCCTGGGCTGGCGTCCATCCCAGCTCCTAACGTCTGTATGATGAGAACACACTATGGAACCTCTCTAGGGGGGACACTGGCGCAGCCCCATATACCTTATGGGACCCAAGGTTGAGACAGACCAAGAGACTTACAGAAGCCCTTCTTGCTGCACATATGCACAAAGGATTGTTCTGAATACACCCAGGGCCATTTTCCCTCCCTGACCATGACTAGGCCACCTCACTTCTCAACTCAACGCCTTGTCCTGAAGTGGGACAACGGTTTTGTCCAGGCAGCGAGGGTCACTTGAGTACTTTCGGTCACTGGGCTTTTTTCAGAGCTGAGACTTCTCATCAGCAAAAGTCAGTGTGAACCTGCTAACTTACGGAGGAATGCCACTCATGGAGTCAGGAGGGAGGGTAAGGGGCGGTCTCCCTGATAGTCCACAGTGCTGTGTTGAGTAGGATCCTGAGGTTGAGCCTGAGCTTGGTGGGAAAGAACGCTGGAATAATACTCTATTACGGGTACACTGGAGTATCTACAGATGCTGGCAAGGTCTAGATGACACTCACTGGGTTCACGATGGAGTTTCTTCTGGGGGAGGGATGAAGGGACTGGAAGAGCGGAGAGTTCCCTCTAGCTCCAGTGTTCTTCTTAAATGACAATTAAAAACAATTAGCAGTATAACCAAAATTTATCTTAAAACTCATTAAAGGTTTGGGAGAAAAGCTCTGTGATTGATTTGCAATGTCTGCCCTGTGTACAGGATGGGTAGGATCAGCATGAATGCCATGTGCTTGACTTGCTCTGCCCTGACCTCTGTTTGCCCCAACTCTACTCCCAGCTGTCGTATAATGCAACAGGACAGTGTCTTGTCCTCCTCTTTTCCTGAATGCCTCTTGCCATTTCCTTGCTCATCGGAAGCTTTCTCTCAGGCTAGCCACTTGCTGGGGCGTAATCTTGGGCCACCCAATAGCTGCAGTGATGTCCCTTTGGGACACCCTGGGCACTGCTCTTCCCCAGGGGGACTGGGTCGAAGCAGAGTAACATGGTTCTGCCGCTCCTGCATGCTTCCCAGATCTGCTGCCCCAGTGGCTCCCCGAGAGCCCCTGCCACCAGGCATTTTGGCCTCAGAGCTCTCAGTTTATACTGACCCCACCTCCTGCTTTCTAAGGCTCATGATCCCAGAGGGGTTCTGGGTTCACATCTCCTAGCAGTGAGCTCAGCTTCATCTTTGCTTCTGTCCAGACTATGCATCCCCTCAGAACCCAGACCTGTTCATCCCAGTTCCTACACTGCCTGCTTGCCTTCCTCCCTTCATGTCTCTCTTTCTCTCCCTTTTGGTTTCTCTCTTGTTAGCTTTCTTTATAGACTGGCTCTGTAGCCCAAGCTGGCCTTGAACTCTCAGTTGTCCTGCCTCTGCTGCTTCCCATGTGCAGGGATTATACCTGCTCCTCTATGCCTCCCTGGCTTCTTAGATTAACTACTACTTTAGTCTGGAGCCTATCTGCTCTCTCCTGAACTGGCCTTCTTGCTCATGGTGCCCGCCCCCTACTGAGAGTCCTACAAAGACAGCCAGTTGCCCTCAGTCTAAAGTCCAAGACTTATGGGACCTTTCTAAGTAAAATGAGACAGTGTGTGCTAATAGAGGCCCGGTGCACACAGTGTTCAAGGAGCAGTGGCTGCTGCTGCTTCCTGCTCCTGTTTCCTGCTCCTGCCTTCACTCCCTCCCCAGCACAGCCTCAGACCCTAACTGCCCTTCTCATGGGCTGCAGCATCTTGCTATAGTTCCCATGGCCCCTACTCTACCTGCCTCCCTGTCTTTGCACATGCCCCCATCCATGATCCATGCCCCACCCCTTGCTCTTTGGTGACTCTAGTTGGTCCTTTAGGACTTACCCAGGCTGGGTGACGGTCCCTTCTTACCATTCCCAGCATTCCTTGCTCATTGCATTGCCCAGCATGCTTTATCTTCATTAATGGAGCTCTGTTCTGTCTGTCCCTTAAGACCAGTGGTTCTCAATATGCCTAACACTGTGACCTCTTAATACAGATCCTCACGTTAAACCATAACATTATTTTCATTGGTCCTTCATAACTGGAATTTTGCTGCTGTTATGAATCATAATGTAAATATCTGTGTTTTCTGATGATGGTCTTAGGATACTCCTGTGAAAGGGTCTTTCGAACTCCAAAGGGGTGTTAGGAATCACTGCTCAGGACTCTTACCAAACCAGCTCTAATCACAGCCTCCCTGGGGCCCTATTTCCTCACACGCACCCTGAAAGATACTGAGAACTGATAGCCCCTGCTGTTCTCTGTGGGACAGTGAAGAATTAAACTTGGACCATTTTCAAGATTTTATAAACAACTCTCTCTCCTCTGCCGGTCCATGTTGTCACCCATGGGCCAGTTCTACCTCTTCCCTATCCAACTCCTGACCACACCCCAGGCTGCTCATATCCATTCAAGCCCAGGTAGAAAACTCCCATGTTCCCTGTGTCCCACTTTTCCCATGTCTCTTTTGCTGCTCTTTCTCTCTTTTCTGTTGTGAACGCCCCTCACTCAGTCTCTTCATGGGGAAGCCCTCCTTCCGCCCAGGCAGACAAGTGGCTGCTAGGCTGGCCACTGCTCTGCTGAGCATGAGAGAGCACCATCACAGGCTGGTCCCTCAAGATCTGGGGCAGAGATGAGGCCCTGTTCCATTCATCTCTCCAAGTCTAGCACAGTCCTAAAGCCCACTCAGTATACGCCCTAGACTCTGGCTGTTTTTTTGGGGGGGGGGATTTCAGCGCCTTAGTGGAGACCCTGCCCAATACCCTTTAACCCTTTCCATCCTGGTGCAGCGAAAGAGGCGCTCCAGATGGTGATCTTCCGCAACCCTCACCCAGGTTGAGCAATGTCAGACTCCCAGGACACCTCCCTGCTCCTTTTCTGCCAGCCCTGGTGGCTCCACCTCACCTTCCCCACAGTCTGCCCTCTCTTCCCCATCCCTGACTGATTAAGAGCCCGGATGGCATTTAGCATCTCTGTGATCTTGGCCAAGCTCCTCAGTTTCTGCAGTCAGTGTCCTCATCCCTCTTTGATATGAAAGAGCAACTGTGGAAGAGTATGCCCGGAGCTCAGTAAGCCTCACTAGCTCACACTCGGTGTGAGCTTGCACAAGCCGGACTGAGGCAGTACCACTGAGCCACATCTCCGCCTCACAAGCTGCTGAATGAAATAACCCGAGGGATGGATACACGATTACCTTCCTCGGGAGTCTTGTCAGAGTTTAGTGATTTGATACATGAAAATACCAGAAGAGTCATGCCTGGTCGATGTTTGTGAACAAGGTTCCAGGTCCTCTCCCTTCAAAGGGTTCATACTCGGCTGTTTTCCTGCAGTTCCCACGCCTGTGGTTCAGTGCCCCACCAGCGGCTATCAAGGGGTTCAATGTCAGATTCAAGATACGGTTCAATGCCAGGCGAGATGTTAGGGTGGGCATGGAGGGGTCCAGGAAAAGAGCTAGAACCAACGTGCTTGGAACCAACTAGAACTCCACCACCCTTGGCACGCCTCTCTGCATGACGCCAGTCCCAGGGAAGTCCTAGACACCAAACTGGTTTATGGGTTGCATTCAGAGGCGGGCGACGAAAGAAGACAGCCGTCGAGGCCACAGGGCTGGCAGGGCCAGCTCCAAGGGAGGCTGCGGAGCGACGGCAGGGAAGCTTGGGGATTTCGTTCAGAGCCCAGGAGAGAGGTCTAGGCAGCCCCAACACTAGATTCTTTTAGCCAATCATACACCCAGGTTTCTGGCTTCTTTTAGACCTGGGCGCCCTATTTGGGCTGTGAGGACCCTTCATCCGGGGAGGGGGTAAGGTGGGGAGAAGGATGAGACGCAGAGCCACGGTTTAGGCGCGCATACAGAGGAGACAGTCTCCGGCCAGCCCACTCAATCTGACCTCTCCAATCCTTGCAGCCCCCGGCTCAGGCACCCCACTTTGGAGCAGTGAGCGTGAGGATGGGTTTCCAGGAAAGGTTCAGTGAGCTGTCCCCGGGGTCCCAGGTCGAGCTGGGGAGCCCTACCTGAAGTCCGCGAAGCCATCATAGCGGGCTCTCCAGCGCTTGGGTTGCAGCGCCGATCTGCCGTCCAGGTGAGGCCCCGAGCTCCCTGGGACAGATGTCTCGATGCCCTTTCCTCCCCTTCCCACCCCCCCCCTCGAGACTGCGCAGCCGCCCGCTCGGGCTCCAAGGCCCATCGATTTTCCTGTTGACTTTGGGAATCTCATTAATCCCTCGTTAATTACTCCGCCGGGGGACTCCGGCACAGGGCGGGCAGCCAATGGCAGAGCGGCTGGGCGGGAGGGCGTGGCGGGAGGCGGGGCGGATGCCGGATGCAGGGTCTGGGTCCGGGCAGCCCCTAGGGTGGAGTGGGGTGGCTTGTCCTCAGGCCCGCACTGAGAACTTGCTGGCTTCAGGCCATGCTTGCCTGTGTATGCTGAGCTGCAAATGGGACCCTCTCCTCTCCAGGTTCAGCTCACCCACTTTCCACACCCTACTTAGCTGACCTAACACCAAAGCGACCTTTCAGGATCAACAACTGAAGTTTTCATAGAAGAGACCCCAAGGTGGGAGATGGAATTAGGAAGCAGAGGAGGCAGTAGTCCTTTGGATCTTCTGTGGTCTGTCCCTTTTCGTCCCCTTCCCTTTCTGCCTCACATCCCTACCAGGCCCAACCTTTGCAGTCCCAAAGACCTATGGACCCCACGCTGATGACAGAGGCCAGGCACTCTCTCCTCTGATGTCTCCTGAGCTAAGTGTCACTGTCCTCACCCCTAAATGTCATTACCCCCACCACAGTACTCAGCCCGATCCGGGTCTGACTCTCCCTCCCTTCCGGCTGTGAGGCCTGCATTCCAATCTCTGACTATCACAAAAAAGGCCTGGCTGGCTGGCTCAGTGCTCACCATAAGGTGGAGGGTAAGAACTGATTCTGAAAATTGTCCTCTGACCTCCACTGGTACACCACAGCAGGTGAACACACACACACACATACACACACTCAGAGAGAGAGACACTCAAATTAAATTATAATAAAATATTAAAAATAATCAAAACAAGCTGAATGATGCTACCTGCAATCCCAGTACTCAGGTGTGTGTGTGTGTGGGGGGTACAACCATCTGGAATTAAAGGTCATCCTTGGCTACATGGGAAGCTAGAGGCCAGCTGGACTTCACAAGACCCTGTCTCAAAAAAACCAAGGCATCGTAACCCCAAACCAGCCCTGACCCTCTGGCTTTTGCTGTCCCTCCTGCCTCCTTCGTTTCTATGCACAGCTGTGGCAGAGCAGAAGTCTTGTGGCTTTGGACAGGGCCCTCGGGACCCCAAGGTGAGGAAGTAGAGGGAGGTCCCTGGGGTAAGGACCCCAACTCCTCTTAGGTCGGGAGCATCTGCTTGTATCCATACTGTGTTCCCACCTGTGCTCATGTTCCTGCGATGATTTGAAGGAAACGTGTCTTTTGCTCTGGGTGAATGGGTTTCGGTTCAGACAGGTGGAAGATTACCTCCCATAGTCCTACAGGAGGATAGCAATGACTGGTCCATTCCACACCTCACACCAGCAAGCAGAGGGGACTGTGAACGTTCCCAGAACACCAGGACCTCTGTCCAAGGCACCCAATATGCCAGTGTTCGAATCTGAAAAGCCACTCTGAGAATTGTGTATAATTTAACAAAACAAAACAAAGCATAGGAGCAGCAGAGAACGGGGAGATAGCTTAGTGACAAAGCGCTGTCACAAAGTGAGGACCTGACTGGGCTCTCCAGCACCACATAAGAGCTGGAGTGTGGGGGCACACTTAGAATACAGGGGCCGGGCAGAGGACAGGAGGACCTCCGGAGCGCAGTGGCTAGGGTGAGCTCCTTGTGAGAAACCCTGTCTTAAATGATCAGGCCTGGAGAGATGGCTCAGCAGTCAAGAGCACATCCAGAGGTCCCACGTGACAGCTCACAACTGTTTGTAGCTCCTATCTCACAGGATCTGATGACGTATGTGCGGGCAAAGCCAGTGCTGGCTCACAGGCTAAAGCATTTGTGCGGATCTACAGAACTCATGGAAATGGTAAACCCCATGGCTGTAGCCCATTCTCTGTTATTCTAGCCTGAGAAGGCAGATGAGGAATCCCCAGAGTTAGCAGGCCACCAAGATTAACCATATGAAATGAGCTCTGAATTTGATTGAGGGACCCTTCCTCAAGGAATAAGATGAAAGTGGAACCAGGAGTGATTCCTGACATCACCTCAGGCCTCTGTATGTCCTCATGCGTGCACACGCACGCACGCACACACACACACACACACACACACACACACACACACACACACACACTGAAGGGGGGGGCAACGTGGAGAGCTCTTAAGGTTGACCTGCACATATGTACGCCTGTGTGGGCGCGTACAGACAGCTGACAAATTATTGTTGTTGGCAGAAAGGCTCTGGTTCTTTATATCTATGAGCCTCAGTTCCTTCTTTACAAAGCATGGGCATTAGATGAAATCAGTCCTCCCTAAATTTCCTGCACGGTAAGAAAGATGCTCCCACTCATGGGCATTCCGCTGGTTCCCTCCCCGTCACCCTGTCATCCACTGTTTAGGAAGTCTGCAGTGTGGACTCAGCTCACCCACTGAAAAGGTGGATGTCTGACTGACTTCCTGTCCTCATCGAAGATGAGGTAGCTAAGACAAGAAGAGGGGACAAAGGGATGCTTGTAGGTTTATTGGTTCTTCGGTCCAGACAGTGGACGGGCCACGTGGCTGGGATTAGAGATAGGGCCAGAGACTGTATTTCCAGACCCCGCGTGGTCCTAGGGAATGCTGCAGGGAGTAGTCTTCCTTGCCTCAGCTTCCCCAGGCTCCAGGATCATGCAGGAACAAATAGGCATGTTTTGATTTTGATTTAAAAACTCATCCTGGAAAAATATACTTTGGTGGAAATTCTAGTCTGGGGCAGGCAGGGAGTGAGTGCCAGCCAGATTCACTGCCAGGTGCTGGTGTTCCTGGGCCCTGTCTCTGTGTAGAGCTTCAGGACAATACATAGACCTCCAGCAGACTGGACACAGCATGCATTCTGTAGAAGATGCCGAAAGGCAGGCAGATGTTGACGATGGCTGCCCAGAGAGAGTAGCCGTAAAAGTCCACCTCCACGGTATTGCTGAAGTGCGGGCGGGCGCCGAAGGCAGGCATGATCCATAGCTGTGGGGGGTGGGGGAGAGAGGAGAGGTGTGCATCAGGAGCCTGCTTGTAACTTCTGTGGGCTTTGCTGAGCATGAAAGAAAGGGATCCCAGCCTTCTAATTGGCTGGGATGGCCATCAGGGACTGTCACCAGGGCTGGCCTCCAGCATCATGGACAGGGCCTGGCTGAGGAGCTGGAGAAGTGTGTCTAACTGGACAGACTTCTGGGCTAGGTGTCCACCTGAAGCCACTCCTCCCACCCTCTTATCCTGCCCTCCTAGCAGATGGAAGTCTCAATGGGTGACATAAGGAACTGATGCTAACAGCTGAAGAAGGAAGTGGGGAGATGTGAGCATGGTTGCTGACGGTGGAAGAGAAGCAGTCAAGCCTAGGGCCTCCCTCCCCAACCTTCCCCTGAGCTCTACTCCTGTGTTTCCCCATCCCTTCCATGCATGGGAGAAGTCTAAGGCTAGTCTCCCGCTTCACCTCCAGAGAGGAACTCAGACCTTAGGGGTATGGGATATGGGACAGAGGACCATACATTCAAGGCTAGCCTAACCCCTATGTCAACTAACTCCATTCTTGGAGGATAGCATATCCTTTCCTGACTCTGTTTCTATTTTAGAAAATGAGAGATGGGGAGAACGCTGGCATGAGTGATTCAGACTCAGATACTTGGAGCAAGAGCAGCCTTTTGGTAGCTCCCAATAGAAAGGCCAGGCTGAAAGTGGGGGCCAGGGGCAGAGGGCCCAGTGTACCAAAGCGGGCCCCAGACACAATGAAGTTCTGAGCCTTACTGCTTCTACTGGTGAGGGCAGGGCTTGATGACTGATTTTTTTTTTCCTTTAAAGTCAAATTGACTGTTGGAAGTCTGCATGGGGGTAGAGGATGTCATACTCTCAGCCTTGGAATATGCCTGCATTAAGGGTGTTTCTGTATTAGGGATATTCTATTGTATGATATAGTCAAACGGCTGTTTCTGTATGGAGTCAGATTTCATTACAGTTTTTTTTTGTTTGTTTTGTTTTGTTTCTGCTTAAGATGCACAGTTATCATTTGGTGTAGGTGGGGGTTAAAGAATTCACCCTGGAAATGATATTTTAGGGAACCAGCACACAAGTCCCTAACATAAAATAACTTACACACAACTTCCTGTATACTTCACATTGCCGTGTTCACAATATGCAAACGTAATGGGGATAGTTGGTACTTTGTTTTGTTTAGGGAATAATGACAAGAAACTTGTGCATTCAATATGATTGGATTTTTTTTTCTAATATTTTCCATCTGAGGGTTGGGCAAATCCTGGGACATGGGGCTTGCGGTCCCCACGGGCGCACATTTCTGTCTCAGATACTTCTGTGTTGGGGGTCATGTCTACACTGGGTCATGGCTATGTCTGGCTATGCTAGGACTGTTTCCCTTTGGGGGTGTCCTCTTATTACGAGGGCTTCTGTACTGGGGTGTTTCCTTCCAGAGAAGGATGAAGTCTCTCACTCTCTGTAGTTGTCTTTGCCAGGTCACCTGGGAGGAGGGCAGCTGTTGTAAGCCTGCCCTCCGCTGCATCCTGCCAACAGACTGCTCACACTTACGCCGATCTCTGCGACTTCCTGAGGCCGCCCCACTTATTCTGAGAAGCAAGCAGGTCACAAGCTCCTGGGAGCAGTCACACCTCCCACCCGGGGGTGAGGGCCGTCACCCCCCCCACATCAGCTCTCAGCTCCCTCTCGTTTCCACCCAGCCCCCATGCCAGCCTTCCCTGGGACCCCTCCATCAGCTGCCTACATGCCAGAGGGCCCTGAAATGCTGTTTGCCTAACATCTGCAGTTGTCCCTCTCTGAACCTGCTCCTGTGTAAGAGTCTAGAATGAGCCTGGGGCAACACAGAGAAGGTTAAGGGATCATCAGTTCTCCCCCGGCCTAGGGGCAACCCCACCCCGCTTACCCCCACACGCCTCTGCTACTCACGA